GTGGACTCCTGGAAGGCAGCCCCGCCCGGGCTCGGAGCCAGCCCCTGGCTCACCCTGGCTCACCCTGCCTTCACCTGACAGCAGATAAGGCCAGCATTATCGTCTGCCTCCTTCCCGCCGCCACATGAGTCAAAGGAAACTTCAAGCCGCCGGCGGCTTGGGTCCTTCACAGGAAAGTCTTTTGATTCTTTTCCTTTCTGGGCCGGCGAGGGCCTTGGAGACAAACACCGTTCAGCCTAAAATAACACCCCTGGATGTGATGGCTGCACTGGGCAGGGGCAGGCCCGGCTGAATCATCATCCTCGTGGTGGTTCCTTAAAAATAACCCCCCTCGCCATGTTCTAACTATAGCCGGGGGTTGGGGGGCCCTCGGAGAGGCCTGTGCACCTGCCTGGCCCCGAGAAGAGCTGGCCAGGATGGAACGGAATTTGTGGCTGGGCCCACAGCCGCACAGGCCTGCTGGGCTCACCCGCTTCTGCTCCTGCCGGGCCAGGCGCTGTGGCCACTGTCGAGGCGAAAGGGGTTCACCCTCCCGAAGTTCACCAGGAATCGCTGTTTAGCTCCTGTCTTGTCTCCCCCGGGGGCCTGAGTCCCTGGGGAGGCGGGCCCGGTGGGATGAAGAGGCAATGCTTCCTTTTTCTTTTTTTACAAGATTATTTATTTATGCACACAGAACTGGGGTACAGGCCAGAGGTGTGGAGGGTGAGAGGACTCCCCAGAGACAGAGTGGCGAGCAGAACAGGCAGCGACTGAAACCCACTGCTGAGGGGAGCAGTGGGTGTGTCAGTGGGGGTGCCCTGGGGGGAGACAGGAGAGGCCTGCTGCGCCCTGTGGGTCCCTCCCTGGCCAGGAATCGAACTCATGCTCCAGTGGCTGTGGCCAGCTTCACAGTGCTGTGCTTTAACCTGTCACGCCACCAGGGAGGCCCCGAGCCAGTTACCAGTGCAGAATGACATTCAGCTTTGCAAGCTGGCTGGTTCCCCAAGTGGCTCAGAGGTAAGATAAAGCCTCCCGGTACAGAAAAGCCAAATAGCATTCTTCCTACTGGCTAGTTCCTAGAATGCTCTCACGTGAATCCCAGTTCCTGGCATGGGACTTCGTTAGAAATGAAAGTATCCCGGCCCTCCCTGGTGGCGCAATGGGTTAGGACGCAGCACTGCAGCGTGAGTTCGATCCCCGGCCCCGGAGGCGACCCTGAGGGCACAGCAGACCCCTCCTGCCTCCCCGCGGCTCCCCTCAGCAGTGGACTTCGTCCGTCAGCCTGTTCTGCTCCCCGCTCTGCCTCTGGGGAGTCCTCTCACCGCCCCGCCCCTCTGGCCTGTACCCCAGTTCTGTGTGCAAAAATAAATCTTAAAAAAAGGAAGAAAGTAGCCCGAGACAGGCAGCATAATGAAGCCCTATCCGCCACGGACATGCAGTGAGAGGCCGGCCCAAGCGCAGAGATCAGGACGCTCGACAGTGGGGCTTCACCGGTGAATGCGCTGGGCCCCCACCCCAGCAGTTCAGGCTCGAGGCAGGCGCAAGGCTGATGATCAGCAGGATTCATAAGAGGAAGCACAAAGGTGACCCCACAGTGTATTCAGTGGGTGCTGGGCCCTGAGGGAGCAGCGGAATCAGAAAAGGCCCAATGGGGCTTGGGCTGGGAGGGGAGGGGAGACCGAGGGGCAGAGGCAGGCACGGCCCTCGTGCCCTTGGACACGTGTGGGGTGTGGGAGGGCAGGGGGCGGTGCCCAGCCCCTTCTAGATGCCAGGGTGACCGCTGGCGGGCCCGATGACAGGAGCTATTTATTCATATATTTTATAATAGTTGATTATGACATCATCTTGTGCCATTTTCCATCTCGGTTGTCATCCCCGTGGGCTTCCCATCCCCAAATCACCCGTGTGCCATCACCATAGTCCAGTGCACTCCCCTCCCCCATTTTTGATCCCATCCCCCACTCCACCCCCATAAACTGTCTCTGGTATATAGCTGTTCATTATTATTATTATTATTATTATTATTAATTATTATTTTCTCCCCTGGTCCTTTATGCTCCTGCTATGAGTGAGACCATCCAGTGTTTTTCCTTTTCTTTCTGGCTTATTTCACTAAGCAGGATCTTCTCCAGCTGACAGGAGCTATTTATAATGGTGATTTCTCAGCCCCTGAAGGTGTGTGGATATGGCGAGGTACTAAGCAGAGGGTTAAAAAAAGCAGCCGAGACCCCCAAATTTAAGTGAGCCGCCTTTGACAACAGTATGTGGACAAACGGCAAAGCTTTGGGCTTTGTTATTTTCTTTTCAAAAGTTTTAAAAAAGATTTATTTATTTATATTTACAGAACTGGGGTACAGGCCAGGGATAGGATGGCTTAGAGGCTTCACCGGAGTCAGAGCGGGGAGCAGAACAGGCTGACGGACGAAGTCCACAGCTGAGGGGAGCAGCGGGCGGGTCAGGAGGGGTCTGCCGCGCCCTGGGGGTCCCCTCCGGGGTGGGGATCGAATCACGCTGCAGTGGCTGTGGCCAAGTTCACAGCGCTGTGCTCTAACCCGCTGCGCCACCCGGGAGGGCCCAAAGGGTGAAGTTTGGGGCACACTAAGAAGTGGGGTGCTCAGGGGCAGCTCCGGCCAGTGATCAAATGGCTTCGGTGGCAGCAGCAGGCCTGTGGCTGGTCGTGAGGGACCCCAGGGGTGCACACCTGGCAGAGCTGAGAGCTGTGGCCGTGTGGACTCCTGGCCCCCCGGGGGCGCGGGGCTGCGACGTAGGTCACGGGACTGAGGAGAGGAGAGCAGCCCCCTGGCTCTGTCACCGGAGCCAGCTTGTCCCAGGCTTAGCACAGAGGCCCCTCGGGCAGGTGTCAGGCCAGGAAGACGTGTGGGAAGGTTCGGAAATGGGGGGGTGGCTGGGGTGCCGCCAGGCCAGGCGCTCTCCTGCTACACAGAGCTGGCCGGTCTTCAGGCGGCGGGAGCATGAGGATTTGTGTGTGGGGGGGGTTGTTGCTGGAGTCTTGTCCCGCCTGGCAGAGGCCACTCTGCACGGGCCGAGGCACATTCTCGCCAGGCGGAAGCCAGCTGCTCTTATGCAATCGTTCAAGCCAGACAACTCAAGCAATTCTATTATTGGTCTTTTTTGTTCAGAACACGATGACAGGTTTATGTGCAGCCTCAACACGTCTTTGATCTTGTCCAAATAGCCAAGTGTGCAGCTTTCAAAGCAAACTCCTCACTTGACATACGGAACACCTCACACTTGGCGTCTCTCCCATCCAGGTGACCAGAGGGTCCCTGAGCAATGAAAAGCATCAGGGCGATCACGAGGACGCTAAGGCAGAGTTGCCGCTGGGGAGTCACTCAGGGAACGTCTGGAAGGAAGGCAGATGACGGGCGGGTGCTCTCCCCAGCTTGCCGGCCTCCTCCTGACTGCGGAAGGCTTAGCTGGGTTTTTTTTTTTATTTGTGCACACAGAACTGGGGTGCAGGCCAGTGGTGCAGGGGCGGTGAGAGGATTCCCCAGAGACAGTGGGGAGCAGAACAGGTCGACTGACAAAGTACAGAGTTGAGGGGAGCAGCGGGCGGGTCAGGAGGGGTCTGCCGCGCCCTGTGGGTCACCTCCCTGGCCAGGAACCGAACTCTCGCTGAAGTGGCTTTAGTTTCAAAGCGCTGTGCTTTAACCTGCTGTGGCACCAGGAAGGGCCCTTAGCTGGAGTTTTAGAGCAGAGAGGACTTCAGAAATGTACCTAGGAAGCAGACGGTGCGCCTCTGAGCCATCTCCTCACACTGACAAACCTTCCCAGGTGACCTCTAGCAGAGTCCCTTTGGTCCGGAGTGTGACCCCGTCACAGTCAGCAGGAGTCACTGTGGGTTTTGCTTGTCAGGAGTTCCTCGGAAATGGCATCTCAGTGGGTGGTGAGTCTGGAAAGGCGCATCACCACTCCAGGGGCGACTGAGGACCCCAGGGCCCCGGTACCAGGAAGTGAGGTCTCCAGGAGACTGAGCCTCGGGGCCTCGGTCAGACCCCAGAGTGGCCCGAGTCTGCCACAAGCTTGAACAGGGCGAGCTGTCCGGAGTCTCTGACCCGCACTGGGGGCCCGTTGTGATGTTCGTAGACACCTGGGACGTGGGTCTGGGGACCAGGCGCCGCATGGGGGGCCCAGGTGGGAGGGGGGCGTGCATGGAGGTGTTGGGAGCCCTCAGTGAGCATTCCTGTCCTCACCACTCTGTCTCTGCTAGGCCCGCGCTGCCTGAGAAGGGGGCCGACCTCGGCGCCCTGAGCGAAGTGGGCTACCAGATCCGAATCTAGGCGGCCGCTCCCCGCAGGACGCCGGGAGCCCGTGTCTGCACCGAAGTCGCCGTCTCTGGGAAGGACAGCACATGCCCTGCAAGCCCGGGCTTGTACCTACAGGATTCCCTTGGAAATGGCCCCTCAGTGGGTGGTGCCCAGGATCGTGGAGACTCATGACCACCCCGGGGAACCGTCCCCCCCACGCGGACTGAGGACCCGACCGCCGAATTTCCTTCTTGTCCACTGACTACTTTCTTTGGCTTTCTTTGAGCATTCTGCCTCACCAGCCGTGACCACCGCGTCCTCCCTTCCACTCTGGATCGACTCAGTATTAACGTCTTTTTCAGCAATAACAATCAAGGGTTGGTGGGGTCTTTTTAAAGCAGGCAATATTACCTCAGCATCTTGACATCAGATATGCAAACTTAACTGTTTTTTTGATATTCTATTTGTATGCTTTCCCCGGTATTTCCTCTGGGGATCTTCATAAAGTTTGGAATTTTTTCCTGGTGCGCCTGTCATGACATTGAAGGTATTATATGCAAACGTCTTACTCAAAAGCACTGAAATTCTTCTGGCAATACGGGAACCTGTTTTCAGGATCTTGGCGTCACTTCTTAATCTTTCTTACAGCCGCGTCTGTTCTCTCAAACAAAACAAGCACGACAGAAGCCAGTCTGCCCAACTGCCATTTAAACTTTGCAGCGAAAAGCACAAGAGGCCTCGCACTGTCCGAGGGGCATGCGGTGGGTGCTTGGCGAGGGCGCCCTCGGGAGCCAGAGGTCAGGGGTGCATGCGGGCGGTCTTAGGAGGCGGGAGCCCCTCTGACCACCTCTGGGCTGCTTCGTAGGCCCAGCCAGGCTGGCTCGGAGGCCTCGCTGTCGTGGGCTGTGTGTTCTGATGTCTTATATTAAGACCAAAGGTGCCCAAGGAGACAGTTCTCCAGTGTCCACGTAGGACTGGTGCTGGAGGTGAAGCTAACTAGTGCAGAAGCCTACAGGTATGTGATTTGTGGCAGGTGACCCTGGCACGGGCCGCATACACAGGATGACGCACCCACTGGAGCCAAAGGCAGCTTCTATTTCTCCTTTCACCTTAGTGGCACGCCAGCCCGGGAGACAGGTGTCTTAGGAAGCCTGCTGGCCAGAAGTGATGCCACGTAACACCCCATCTCAAAGTGGCAGCAGCTAGAGAACCTCTTGATCTTCACCCCCAGGGGGGGCCGGGGGAGGTGGGTGAAGACTAGAAATGCAACCATTTTCAATATGCTGATGTGTAAGCCTTAAACCGCCAACTGGCTTGATGGTTTTTAGTGACCTAATTCCATCCTCACTTCTGGATTCTTGACTTGCGTCGTCAAGGTAGGAGTTCATCACCGGTTCACGAAAATTCATTTCAAGTGTTCTCCGTTGTCATTTGGTCTTTCATGTCTATGGAAATGTTCCTTTGTGAGGATATGTTCCAGTATCTAGAAAGGAACCAGAAAGGCACCAGACTCCTAAATTCTAGTGCAGTGGTTTCGTTAAGGCAAAAAACCAAACCAAACCAAACCAACAAACAAAAAAAACAAACAAAGCCAAACTACCAAACCCATGATACGATTTACCTCCCTGCAAATTGACTTTAAAATTGGCTCTCCTTCCGAAGCTGCAGGATAAAGCTATGGAATACCCGGACATGTAGCTTTTAAAGTTGTTCACGCAAGGGAGATTTTCTGCTTACGCCGTTATGGGCAGTGTATGCAAAGTTTAAATGAATGACAGATCCTTGGTTTTCAGCTGCACCGGTGCTGTTACTTCAGGAAGTGGTAGTTAGTATTTTCTAGACACGGAAATCATGAGCATTTCACTTTTTCTAAGTCCATTATTTCATAAGGGTTTTATTAACAGATATTGGTAACTAGAGTGGTGACGCTCTCGTGTCCGTATTCTGAGGCTTTTGTAAGCTATCGTTTTTAGGTACAACCTTGTACAGTTTTTTTGACATCCAATTCTGGATCTTGTTTATTCTCTTGGACTTTGTTCTGGCGACTACATTTTTTTTAAAACTTGAAGAAAAGCTGTGATTGTTTCAGTGGGTATTTTTCTACGTGGGCGGAAGCTGTCTGATGGGACGTTAGGAAATGCCGGCTAAGTGCATGCTTCGTGGTGACGGGCCCTGGCCACGTGTGTCTGTACCCAGCGCGGGACTCGAATAAAACCACCCTGGAAACGTAAGGACTGTTTTCTTCCCCAAACAGAAGATGGTGTGGTTTTCTTGCTTGCCCCCACTGCCCGCTCACCTCCTTCTTCCACAACTTTCAGACCGTAGGGCCCAGCCCTCTGCTTTGGCTCATCTTCATCCACATCCAGTTCAGCTCACTCCATAAAGGCTGACGGGGCCCGGGACAGCTTCTGAGAGGCATGAGGCTGGCTCGCACAGCTCTGCACACTCACCACAAACCCCCAGGCACAGATGTGTAAAAATACCATTTATTAGCTGATTGACAAAGTGCAGGTGACTTGCTGTCTCCCCAAGACCTCACTGGGTCTCAGGTTTTTCGGACGCAAACAGTGAAGTCAGCTGGTAAATTCCAAAAATAAGTTAAGATTTCAAACACACATACCCACAAATGGCCCTCCATTCTGTAAGCTGGTGGGAAGATCCTGGACTAATTCGAAGTGAATCCTGTAAAAGGGGCCTGGAATCACACGCCATTAAGCAGAACACAAAGGTTTCCAGGGATGTCTGTTAGCAGCGATCTGATAATTCACACTTGCTGACAAATTCATGTAACACAAAGCGGTCATGAGTGAATTTTCATTTCTTCGTTCCCGCCTTCTGACGGGAATACTCACACTGTCGTAATTTGATGCTACATTCTCCACGCAGGGCTCTGACACTATAAACTGTAGGCAATTCTAGAACTATCATCAATACTATAAATACAAATGAAAAAGGTAAACCGAACATTTCAAAGTAGTCAAATGCTATAATTTTTACGCGTCGAATCCTTACAACCTATGTCTTTTGGGCCATCCATGGGGCTTCCCCCCCCAAAAAAACATACAGTAAATTCTTTCGTACAAATTTTTTAAAGTCTCAGACTGTAATTACTGCTTTCTAATTTAAGATGGAGCACTTCATGGAGAAAACCCACGCACAAAGTTGCATCATTGCTTATACTTCAATATCCCATCACTACTGGGAAAACTGCACATATTCTCTGACCCCAATGTCTAAGAAGGGGGGAATTTTTTTGTTTTAAACTTTTTGACTTGAACACGATATGGGGCCCAGCTGCTCTTCACCACCTCACGAACACTGCAGCTTTATCTCACACTGCTGTGACCCAAAGGACGACGTTTTGGAGCCCAAACCAGTAAACTGTTAGCGTTACTACCTCAGAGTTAAGGGCTCTCCAAGTTGGCGTCTCCCCACTAGTGCTGCTGGCTTCCTCAAACTTTTGGGGTGAAACAAAAATAACCTTAGAGCTGCCACTCTGTCCCAGAGACAAATTTCCTAATAAAGTTCTGTAGCACTAATCTGTGCAATCAAATCTCTCCCCCAGCCGAGGCTTTTCCGGAACCAACAAGAAGAGTCACTAGGGTCATGCAGGTACCAGCCCCATCTCTGCCTCTGGGCGACCCGTGGGATGAGGGAAGGGCGGGC